GTCATCCATTTTGCATAATATTTCATGAGATCTTTGTTTTTCAATGCTGCATAGTAGTCCATTGTGTGAATATACCACAGCTTCTCTATCCATTCATTTGTGGATGGGCACTTGGGTTGTTTCCAACTCTTTGCTATTGTGAACAAAGCCACAGTAAACATGGGTGTGCATATATCTCTGCTTGGGTGGCAGTTATGGTTTCTTAAGGGTAAATTCCCAGTAGTGGAATTGCTGGGTCAAATGGTATCTCTAGTTACAGCGTTTTGAGAAATTACCATAGTGGCTACATCATTTTTACACTCCCACCAATAGTGAATAAGGGTTCCAGTTTCTCCACAACCTAACCAGCATTTGATGTTTGCTGTTGTATTAAATTTTGCTATTCTTAATGGGGTGAGATGATATCTCATAGTTGTTTTGAGTTACATCTCTCTTAGAGCTAGGGATTTTGAACATTTCTTCATGTGTTTGTTTGCCATCTGAATGCCTTCTTTGGTGAAGTGTCTGTTCATATCCTGTACCCATTTTTTAAATTTGGTTATTTACTGTTATCTTGTGCTGCTCGAGTATTTTATAATATTCTAGGTATAAGTCCCTTTTCTGACATGTCATTACCAAATATTTTTCCCCTGTCTGTGGCTTCCCTTTTTACCCTGTTGGAGAAGTTTTTTGGATGTGCAGAAAGATTTGATTCTTAGAAGGTCCCAGTCATCTATTTTATCCTCTCCTGGTTGTAGATTTTCCAGGATGCTTGGAAGACTGTTTTTGTTGTGGATGAACTGCATTTCTTTGGAGTGGCAGCACAGCTCCTTACCACCAGGCCACAAGAGGTTTCTTAATGCAAAGTAGTATCCTGGATTTGATATTGGGCCAAGAAGGCATGCTATTAAAAAAATCCAATGATATTCTATTATCTTTAGATGATGGCTTGGTAGTAATGGTAATATCTCAGTTTTAATAAATGTATTATAATTATATAAAGATGCTAATATTAGGGAAAATGGATAAATGAAATTTCAGAACTGAATTATCTTTACAATGGAAAAGTCTGAAATAAGTTAAAAATTAAAAGATTTTTAAATATTCATTTGAACTTTTTCTTTCTGAAGAAAATACAAAAATGATGAATTGCAAGCTGAAAGGAAGTATCATTAACTTTTTAAGATATGGCCCCCGAAGATATATTTATTTTTCAGACCTGGGCTAATACTATTCAAGAAATAATGATAGCTTAGTGGTTGGAAAAAAGTAATTAAGAAAGAAGATAAATCTTAAAAGCCTGCATCTATGTGAAGAACAAAACTGACCTATGTCAAGTTTTTTAGAGTTTATAAAGGGATATTTATTTAACACTTCAAGCCATGTTTACAGCCTACTATTTGCCAGCCCTGTGTTGGATATAAAAGACAATCATGTCAGATAAAGTCCTTGGCCTTCTGACATTTATACCACAGTGCTATGGGGGGGGGGGGAAGAAAAACTGTGTTATGCTTCAGAAATGTAGGCTTGTTGACAAATATTATTTTGAAGCAAGTAAATCTTGAATTGTTATTCTGAATGCCTTAGTAAGAAAAAAAATAGCACATTGATAGTTTAAAAATACTTCTCATTAATATAGTTTATCCAAATAATAAGCAAACCCATGAGAAATGTTAACACATCTTGTTTGTTCAGTGTATAATGTGACAGGATTTTTAAAATTTAATTTTTGCAAATCCTGGAAAAGGATTATTTCCAGTTAGTAAGTTGGAAAAAATTTCTTCACTGGATGATTTTTGGGGTTTAATTCTTAAGTAAGTGAACCTTTTCATGTTGCGGCATGAGGTTAAGTTAAAAAACCCAGCAAGTAACTCTCCTGTTTCTTTTGCCTCAGCACGGAGGGGGCAGAGGAGGCAGCAATATCTAAAGCATGAAGGTGCACGGAGGGCAGAGTCACCTTCTCAGGATCGGTTGACCTTAGCTGGATGGCAGGTGTACCTGGTCCAGGCCATGATCTTCCCAGTTACTTGCTATGTGTAACATAGCTGGTCAATGAATAGCAATGAAACAAGGAGAACAGATGACTTTGAGCAGTTGTGCTGGAGAAATGTCTTGACCCTACCATGGACAGCCAAGAAAACAAATCAGGCTGTCTTGGAGAGGGTGAAACCAAGTTTCTCCTCGGAGGCTAGGATTTTGAAGCTCCACCTTCACTTACTTTAGGCATGTGACCAGGAGGGATCGGTACTTGGAGAAGAACATCATGCTTGTGAGTGTAGAGGGACAGTGCAAGAGAGGAAGACCCTGGATGAGATGAATTGATTCAGTGACAACGGTAATGGGGGTAGGTGTGTCAGACAATAAGGTTGGTACAGGATAGAGCAGGGTTTAGGGCTGTTGTACATAGAGTCGCTATGAGTCTCAAGCGACTGGATGCCACAGAACAACAAATGCTTAGCTCTTACTTCTTCCAATTACATTTTTAATGTTCCTCCTCCTCTTTGTCCCTACCCCTCATGTCAATTTTTGGCAAGTTGTAGTTTTGGTTACTGTACTTGGCACTTCAGTTCTTTTGTAGCTTTGGAAAGGCTCTTGTGTTGGGCTATGCTCTTCTTATTTGAAGTTTTTTAGCCCTTGATCCTCATATTATGACCTTAAGTAACTTCACCTAACTCGAGTGAGAGTTCCCACTGATTCTTCCATTGAGTGAGTGCCTTCTGCTTAGGAGTTTGAAACTCAAAGTGGTGGCCAGCAATTTATATAGCTCAACGAAACTTCTCAACTACCTGAAGAAGTTCCTTAAAATTATTCCTCTAAGGAAAAACCTGTGCTGGATTTTAGTCTAAGGAAAAATATTGAAACAATGTTTAAGGTTAATTCTTTAAAAACCCAGGAGTGGATAGTAATGATGATGTTAATGATAAAGATAGACATTTTTATAATAAAATTGATAATATGTAGCAAAATCTCTCCCCCCCCTTCTCCTATACACAGATAAATAAACATAAACTTTGCTTCACATACACACATTAACTAGGGAAGATAAAGGACACATGTGAAAAATAAAGAAGGAAACTATAATTTTCTAGGATAATTTTATTTATGAAATATTTATAATCATTCTCCCAGCAAAAAAATGCATTATGTATATCGAATTGAATGTTAGTACAAATTATATTTGCCCTGCAGTATAGAATGAGTATCACATCAAAATCACTTGAAAGACTCTGTGCTTTTTAATTCTCAGTCAGTTTTAATAACCCAGGATTTATAATAGTTGTCTCTTATGAACATTTACTGAGTGTCAGATTTTGTCCTCCATGCCTTACAAATAACCAGTTATCTGTACTACTGGTTAAGATACCTTAGACAAGTTTTCAACTCTCTGTGCCCTAATTTTCCCTTAAGTAAAATGGATTTACAGGTCTTTAGAGAGGGACACCATGCTGGGTAGAGTGGAGGGACAGCGCAGGAGGGGAAGACCCTCTATGAGGTGGATTGATTCAGTGACTGGGGCACTCGGGATGGGTGTGTCAGAGGCAATGAGATTGGCACAGGATAGAGCAGGGTTTAGGGCTGTTGTACATAGGGTCGCTATGAGTCGCAGACGACTCGACGGCACATAACAACAACAACAAATGATAACTTACAGAACTATCATGAGTATTAAAAATGTGCACAAATATTTAATACAGGTAATAACAGCACACAGGAGAGGAAGGCCCTGGATGAGATGGATTGATACAGTAACTGCGGCAATGGGGGTTTGGTGTGCTGGAATTAGTGAGACTGGCTCAGGACAGGGCAGGGTTCAGAGCTGCTGTACATAGGGTCGCTGTGGGTCACAGGTGACTCGATGGCACATAGCAACAACAACAACGAGTAATAATATTAATTGTATGTTTTATTATTATAATAATAATATTATACTCAAACCACAATGACTTTTCATTTTGTTGGCATTTTTCTTCCTTTTAACCTATTTGCCTTAAAAGTGGGACCAATGGCAAAGGAATAGTAATTTTAGGAAGGAGAGACAGGTTTATTTAATGTATGTGGGTGGAGGAAGTGCCTAGCACACTACATGGCATGAGAACAGGCACTTAGTAGATATTTCATGCAACTAAATATGACTGAGTGTCCTTGAATTGGTTACATCTTAAACATGTTCTGCTTCCTTCTCCCCACCAAATCGATTTTTTCTATTGACTACACATATTTTGTGTACACATATTTTAAATGTACACATATTTAAAATATACACATATTTTGTGTGGTCAGTAGGTTCCTGGAATTTTAGAAGTTTTTCAGTTTGTGTTCTGCCTATATACTTTGCCTACTCTAAATGCTCAAATCATTAGAAACTGTTGCTCCAAGTATAACTTCTTTCTTTAAATAAATAAACAGAAAAACAAAGTAAACACCTTGGTATTTAACATTTAAAAATCTATATTTTCTTAAAGTAATTTTCCCCCATCTTTGATATTAAAGGGAAGAAAATGTAAATTATAATGCCTTCTCCATCCCCCAGGTGAATTGGGATTTGGTAAGGCAGATATGTTTCAAATAAAAAGATCATATATGTGATGAATGATCCCCAAAACATGTTTTACCCTGTTTGAAGGTACTAATAATGTGTAGGGAGCTAGTTTTGCTCTTATATCTAAAGAGTTGATCAGATAATATAACTTTTAAGTACAATTATTTCTGCAGGAAACTTGCTTGTTTCCAAGACAACTATTACCTATTTAAGTTTTTAAATGTGTAGCAAAATTACTACAAATGAGAAAAACAATGAAACTAATGGAAATTGATTATAAAGATCAAAAAATTATTTATATTTCATCTCTTACTAAGATAGTCTTAGGAATTCAATGATTAAGCAGGCCGCAATTCCTTTATAGATTTTGCCCAGCTTATAACGACATCGTCCTTCGCCTTTTGTAAGTAAATACTATTAATGACTTTTCATTTTAGAAAGTTTTTTGAATAATGAACTTTTTCCATTTGTTTTCATTTAGGCACTGAAGAAACAAGAAGGTAAAGCAGAAGAGAGTGAGGGAGAAATGAAAAATAAGCTCAGACAAACGGAAACTGAGAGAATCCAAGTAAGATTCCAAGACGTACCTTTCAAGGAGAATGCTTTTCAAACCTAGTGATGTATGTTGAGTACTTTGAGTATCCTGTCTGAGCTCAGTTACTATAATGAAGTCCATGCTTAGACGTGGCGAACTTGAGTTGATGGCTGTACTTTCCATGCGAATTGCCTTGGAAAACTATAGAAGTCCTTTGCCACCTCGCTGTCTGTGTCTGCTCTGATTTCCTAGAGCAAAGTTAAACTTCCCATTCCTATCTGGGGAACAGGTAAAGAGTCTGACTTAGCTGTGGATTTAAGGAAAATCTATCCTTCAAAAGCTTGCTATTTTGTATATCTTCATTTTTATTATAAATTATCAACATAGCTAACAGCTAAATTCTGAATCTTCTATAGTCTCATGAATATTTTAAGGGCCAGTGACATAAATTCATTCATCTGTGTGCATCATAACCAAGTATGCATTGTATTATTACAAAGACTGGAAATTCCAGAACATGTAATTGTGTTCCACTTATGTGGAATCTTTCATTGAATGAATTAGCAGTAATTTGAACAGAACAAGGGGATACCGCTTAGTTTAAAATCAGTGTTAGCATTGTTTTCTGCCACCATTCATATTAAGTCTATCTGCTGAGAAAGTAATCTGAGAAACTGGACTATATGAAGAAGATTGTGACATCAGGTTTGGAGGAAGACGAATCAACAACCAACACTATAGAGATAATACAACTTTCCTTTCAGGAAACAAACAAACTTTGAAGTATTTACTGACGAACCTCAAGGACTAAAACTTTAATTACTCCAAGGCATTCTTCCTAACGTGACCAACAAGCAACATTATCATATATGGGGGAAAGATTAAAGTTGTTTTCTATTTTACTTGGATCCACAATCAACATCCGTGGAAGCACCAATGAAGATATCAAACAATATAGTGTGTTGGAAAAATCTCCGACCAGGTCTTTGATGTACTAAAGAGGAAGGATGTTCTTTGAGGAATGAGGTGTACTTGACCATGTAAAAGTTGAAAAGTTTAATACGGAAGACCAAAAAGGAATCTGTGACTTTGATTTGTATTGTTCGCAAAGAATATTGACTATACCATGGACTGCCAAAAGAACAAATCGTTCTTGGAAGAACTGAAACCAGAATACTCCTTAGATATGAAAATGGTGTTACTTAATCCCATGAACTTTTGGCATGTACCTAAAGGGACCCGATAGAGGAGAAAAACATCACACTTAGTAAGCCGAGGGCCAGCAAATGAAAGGAAACCTTTAATGAAATGAATGGACACAGTAGCTAGAACAGTGGGTTCAATCACAGCAACAGGTGTGAGGATGTCACAAGATCAGTTGTGTTTTGTTGTACCCAGGCTTACTATTGTCACCAATTTGGCAACAGTACATGATATAACTTATCTGTGTGCATATGCTGTTCATATAGTTAGGTGTCATCTAGTTGACTATGCTTCATTGTTGCTTTTAGGTGCCATCAGTGTGACACATAGTGACCCTGTGGATACTGTTTTGAACTCTGTTAAGAGCAAGAGCCATATGGAGATGTCCATATCTGACCTTTACAAACTCCACAAAGGTGAACTATTCTGATAAATAACAAAATGAACATAAAACCAGTTCCATGAGTTGAGACATGTCCTCCACACACCAGCATCTTTTTTTACTCATCCCAACACCCGTCTTACTGCTTTACTGGATCAAAAATCCATTGCAATCCCTCACAGACTACACAGAACCATATCGTTTTTGTTGTTATGTGCTGTTGGGTCACTTTCAACTCATACTGACACTGTATACAAAAGCTCTGAATCCTTTTTTAGACTGAGGCATCCTTAGTGTCTCTGAAACACCTACTCCATTACTCTGGTTACTAAATCAATCCATCTCATTGGTGTCTTCCTCTCTTATGCTGTCCCTCCAACCTCCCAAGCATGATATTCTTTTCCAAGGACTAGTTCCTTCTGGCAACATGCATCACAGTCCTTGCCTCCAAAAAGCAGCCTGCTTTCACCCTCTCTATGATGAGCCTGTTTGTTCTCCTGACAGTGCATGGTATATTCAACACTCGTCTTCAGCATCACAGCTCAAAGGCATCACTTCTCCTATCACTCTAGTCATTGTCCAGCTTTCTGAGTCATAGCAAGAAATTGCAAAGACTGTGTCCTGGATCAGGTACATCTTAGTCTCCAGACTGACATTGTTGCTTTTCAGTACTCTGTAGAGGTCTCTGACAGCAGATTTTCCAAATGCAATTTGTATTTTAATTTCTGATTTAATGTACTGTTTTTGGAACAGACCAGCAACTACTCATATGGAAGTTCAAGCTGAAGCTAAAGGAAATTAAATCCACAGGAACCAAAATTTGACCTTGAGTCTATCCCACTCAAATTTCAAAACCATCTCAGGAACAGATTTGAGGCCTTGAACACTAATGAGTGAAGACCAGATGATCTGTAGGATATCATCCATGAAGAATGCAAAAGGTCATTACAAAGACAGAGGAAGAAGAAAAGACTAAGATGGATGTCAGAAGAGACTCTGAACATTGCACTAGAGCGCTGAGAAGCAAAAACAATGGGGAGAAATTAAGGAGCTGAACTGAAGATTTCAAAAGACAGCATGGGAAGACAGAGTAAAGTATTGTAATGAAATGTGCAAAGAGCTTGAGCCAGAAAATCAAAAGGGCTGAACTCAGCGTTTTTTAAGCTGAAGGAACTGAAGAACAAATTCAAACCTTGAGTTGCAATACTTAGGGATGCTTTTGGCAGATTATTAAATGATCCAGGAAGCATTAAAAGAAGATGGAAGGAAGGGGAGCTCTGGTGGCCTAGTGACAAGAACCTGTACTGCAATCCCAAAGTGCATAGTTCAAATCCGCCAGATGCTCAGCTGAAGAAGAAGGGGCAATCTCTTCTGTGCAAGTGGGATCTGATTTGATGGCACACAACAAATTTAAAAAAAAAAAGTATACAAAATCACTATACCTTCTCTAAATCTGAACATTCAGATTAAAACACACTAGGTAGAAGGATTGGCCAGCCACTTCCAAAATAGCAGGCCTCTGAAAACCCTATGTACAACGGAACACACGTAGAATGGCAGAAAAGGCAACTGAGTATGGACATACAAAGGAAGAGGAACAGTTGTAAGCAGACACTAGTGATTGGAGACAGTGAGATTGGCACAGGACAGAACAGAGTTTAGGCCTATTGTACATAGGGTCGCCATGAGTCGCAAGAGACTCAACGGCACATAACGACAACAACAACAACAACATACCAAAAGGAATTGGCTTACACAGGAGAATTTCACGAAATAACGCATGAGTAAGAACCATATTAGGGAAGTCAGAAGTCTATAATTCAGACAGCTTCCAGATATAATCAGTCAGGGCAGCTTCCAAAATGTGTTCTCAGGCATGTCAGCCTTCAGTCTTATTCTTGGTCCTGTCACCTATGGCTCCATCTTCCGGCAATCTTTGGCAAAGATGCTTCACTCTGGTTCTGTGGGATAGCATTACCAAGGGCAGCTTCATCTCACATCGAGTCTCTGATTCTCTGCTTCAACTGCTGCTGCTCTCTTGCACGTCTGGCTGCTGCATGAATCTCTCTTCCTGAAAGACACCCTGGACTCCATTGTTTCTCAAAATCTACTACCAAATCAGCTCAATTTAGTGACAAGACCAGCCAATCCCTTTGTGGCTAGATCCTGTTCACACATTCCTGCACATCCACATGGCAAAGTCAAGGTTAATGGCTAGGGAAACGATTCTGAACAGAAACCCTTTCCACATCTGTCCTATCCTGTGCCCTCCTCATCATCTCTGACACAGTGAGGCCATTGCTTCAGTCACTGTGCAAATACATCTCATCTTGTGTCTTTCACTCCATCTCTGACTCTCCACCTTTCCAAGCATGACGTCCCTTTCCAAGGAAGGAATAGCCTTTCCTAGTAACATGTCCAGTAGATGATACTTCGCCATCTTTACCTCCATGGAGCACTGCAATCTTTCCAAGACGTATCTGTTTAAATGTTTGGCAGTCCATCAGAAATTCAGCACTCTTCTCCAACACCGTAACCCAAAGACATCACTTCTTTTGTCATCTTTATTCATTGTCTGTCTCTCAGATGAGCAACAAGTGATTAAAAAGACTATGACGCGAGTCAGTCAGTCTTCAGACTGACATCATTGCTTTTCAGTATTTTTGAGGAGTCCTGACAATAAACTTTCACAGTGCAGTATGTCTCCTGATTTCCTAACCGCCAGTATCAAGGTTGTTGATTGTTGACCCAAGTAAGAGGAAATAATTGACAACTTCAGGCCTTTCTCTGGCAAACCTGAGGTTGCCTGTTGGTCCAATTTTGAAGACTTTTGCTGTCTTGGTTTTAAGATGTAATTCGTGTTGAAGACTACAGTCCTTGCTTCTGCAGCAAGCCTTTCACGTCCTCCTCACTTTGAGCAAACAAGTTTGTATCATCTACAGAAAGGAAATGGCTGACGAATCTTCCTCCAATCCTGATACCGTATTCCTCTTTACCGAGTCCAGCTGCTTGAATGGTTTGCTCAGCATACATATTGAATTGATACGGAGAAAGGATACACTCCTCACATACATTTTTCTTGATTTTAAATTGTACAACAGCTTCTTGTTCTAGGTATAGATGTTATATGAGCACAATTGAGTGTTCTGGGATTGGGAAATCCCAAAAGATTGGGAAATCGTTTCAGTATTAGCCATTTGTTATGATCCACATGGTGAAATGCCTTTGCATAGTCAATTAAACATCCCTGATTCATAGCAGCCCTATGAAGCACAGATCTGAACCTTGTCCACTCCTTCCCCGTCTTCTCACAGTCATTGATATGTTTGAGCACATTGTTACAGTCACGGTGTCAGTCCATCTTGGAGGGGGTATGCTTTTCTTTGACCCTCTACCAGCAGTATTTCCTTTTCCAAAGGCTAGTTCCTCCTGACAACACGCCCACAGTGTGTGAGATGAAGTTTCACTATCCTTGCCTCTAAGGAGCTCCTTGGTATATTTCCTTCCAAACATCTCTTATTTTAACAGTTAGTATTATTCTTCAGCATCACAATTAAAAGACATGTAGAACCATTAGTTTTGTCAGAAAGGAATTCAGAGGCAGATGAGCTACACAAGGTTAAGGCCAAATAATGCATGATTATGTTAAAATTTGACTTTATTGTTCTTTTCTCTATCTACCATTGTTTTTGTTGTTGATTACCATCGAGTCAAGCATGATTCATAGCGACTCAATGAACAAAATACTTAATGCGTTTCCATAACTCTCGTCAATTCCAAGTTCAGAGGGTTTCCAGAGGCATGTGGTTTAGAAGTGGATGCCACTCCTGCTTCCAAACCTGTTTTACAACTGGGAGCTCCACCAAACGCTGTCCACATTGGGAAACCATTCTGGTATTTATCTACCATTACATCCTTTATTTGACTTCATTTTCCCATGTATAGTTACATGATATTTCCATGCTGATTTCTTTTAAGTCAAGCTATGTTAGGCTATGAAGTTTTTCCTTTGAGAGTTGAGGCTGTTTTTTTATTGCATAGAGATCATAGCCCATAGAGACCATGGCCAATTTTGAGCACATCTTGAAGTGTGATTTCTTCTCCCATTATTTTTTCATAGAAACAATAGGATAAGACTCTGTGTGTATGTGTGTGTACATGAAGTTTTTATGGCGTGGTGTGTAATATGTGTGGCTATTAACCAGAAAGCCAGTGGTTTTGATACACTAGCTGCTGCTGCCTGGAAGGAAGATGGACAGTTTCTCATTTTCTTTTTTTTATTTCATTTTTGTAAAAATTTAAAGCCTTAGATATCTAAAGGAGGGTTTCTAAGAATTGGAATAGTCTTTACAGCAGTTGTTGTTGTTGTTAGATGTTGTCGAGTCACTTGTGACTCATAGTGACCCTATGTACAACAGCTCTGAACCAATCACATTATCTCCTACAGACCTAATCCCATTTCTCCAGTATCTGAGTCAATCCATCTCATCCTTCCTCTTCCTCTCCTGCACTGCCCCTCCACATGATGTTTTTCTTCAAGGACTAGTACCTCGTGGCCACATGCCCAAATTATAATGGACGGAGCGTCAAATTCCTTGCCTCCAGGGAGCAGCTTGGTTTCCAACTGTCCAAGACAGACCTGCTTATAGATTTTGTTATATGTGTATGTACATATGTATAGATATGTATATATACACTTACCATGTGGTCAGGAGAGACCAGTTCTTGGAGAAGGACATCATGCTCGAAAGGGTGGAGGAACAGCACAGGAGAGGAAGACCCCGGATGAGATGGATTGATTCAGTGTTTGTGGCAATGGTGGTTGGTATGTCGGAATTAGTGAGACTGGCTCAGGACAGGGAAGGGTTGTATGTACAGCTATGTATATACAATCTGAAGCTGCTGTACATAGGGTCGCTATATATCACAGGTGACTCAATGGCACGTAACAACAATAACAACATACTATATTGGGGTTGTGGTTTTTTTAAAAATTTTATTCTCTTGTTCAGAGTCAGCAACACCTCAGGGAGGGCTTTTGTATTTAAAGTTGGTTGTTATTATATTTTGGAGGAATATTCTTCTAAGTGGTACAGCACTCTTCTCAATATGCTGTATTGAGGTAACCTGAGGTTGCTGTGATGCTGACACTTGTGCCATTGGGGTGTCAAATGCCATAATGATTACCCATGGTGGGCAGTGTTTGGTGGAGCTCCCAATTTAAGACAGGTTTGGATGCTGGGGTGGCACCCATTTCCTAAATAAGATGCTTCTGGAAACTCTGTGAACTTTGGTAAATGTCGATAGTTATAGAAAGGCTTCAGGCCTTTTGTTCATATGTTC